CGAAACGTCAGCAATTGTGTTCTAATAAATTCTATATTAACAACCTCGTGTCTGCTTATTGATGAAAAACATTGAATCTCTGAGTTGTTTAGAATCTATGCAAACTTAAACTATTTTGCAGAAAGCATGGACCGTTCTGGATCAAACACCTCGTGAACTGATGAAGCAACACTCCATCTGCGTCCTCGACATCGCAAATCTGCGTGGATTTCGAGCAGAAGAATGCGGACAACTCGCCCGCAGTTCCTCAGTGCTCTACCATGTTGCTGATCGATTCGATAAAAAAACCGATGTAGGTAGAGTTTGCTTCGTAACTCCAATTTACCGGAATATTTTGTTGTTCTTTTAGAAAACCACTCGGAACGTACCACATTCCAACGAACAAACAAAAAGTGAAAGTGAATTTTCTACGTACATGTCTAATGGTATGTTGTCATGAAAATATACTGCTTACATCTTGAGGATTTTGTATTCTTTATGAGTATCGTAGAATACTGATGGAGTCGAGTCGTCCAGCAATCTTGAAGATAATTCAAAAGACTGACTTTCTATAGACTTCGGCATAAATAGTCGATATATGTACACGTTCCAAGGAATTGCCTTGACCTGATGCCAGGTTGTCTTTTTGATGTTGTTGTCGTCTTTTGCTGTTGCCTTTTGTTGTTGTTATCTTTTGTTGTTACTGTCTTTCGTCGTTGTCTTTTGTTGTTGTTGTCTTTTTTTTGTTGTTGTGATTCGATGGGTGACGCTTTGGCGACTTCGCCTTCCTTAGAGCCGTGGTGTTAAGCGTGGGATCATCCGTGTGTTGTTCACTTACATGATGCGCACTGGAATCTGGAACAAAAAAGCTCTCCATTTCTCTGGAGCCTCCAAGTTCTCTGAAGTGATACGAAACTTGTCCTGGAGGATACAAGCAATCACTCGACACATTCGTTGTCTTCCATGAGTTATTGAATAAGCCAAATGTGCTTTAGCAACGATACTTGAAGAAGTCCAGTGCTTGACACTTGTCCGTAGGACTGATGAACGCCGAGCGCTTTTAAGTAACGAGAAGTGAAATAATTCTTACATATTGTTATTTTTGACAGATACCACTCGCAAAAAACTGAGGGATTCGATGGAACGGCATGCGAACAAACTGCAAAGAAGACGCGAACTCGAGGTCTACAATTGCAGGAAGACCAAGTGGGTGAACAATCAGCCTCCACGCTCAGAGATCATCAGTATTTTGAATAATCCGCCTTTCTTTTACTGATAGGGCTGACGTCCATTTATCTATGTGCTAAAAATTCTGACTTTAGATGAAATCTGGATCTGATGAGTTGCCAAGTCAAGGAAAATGTCATAAATCACAATACAATCAAAAGTTTTTTTTAGTCCCCTCCTTCATTTGATTAATGACACATATTAGTTGTATTTTAGTGGCTTTTGCGTACTTTTGGCTGCTTGATTACTTTTCCGTGTTCAGTTTCAAACGATTCGCAACGGAAAGAATGATCGGACTCGGTCATCATAGAAATGTCGTCGATCCATCAACACTTATCGTTAACAATGAACAAGGGTGGCGTTTGCAGTAGTGTTCAAAAATCTCACTTGATCAGCTCGTTTACAAACATTTGCTTACTTATTGTAACTCCTGTTATTCAGGTTGAAAGATAAATGCTATGGATAGTCTAATTCTCAGTAACCTCAACAGCTCCCAAATTTTTGTCTTCCCGTGATGTTGGAGTGAAACTTTTGCAAATAGTATGCGTTCTGTTAAATGGGACGAACTCATAGAAATTTACCAAGTCACTAATTTTGCAGGGAAGACCATTACGTGAACCATTCTCTTACTAAATCGCCAATTTCTAAATGGTGGAACAGTGGAACAAATGAAAGAGTTCGAAACACTGAGTGTAAACATTGTTGTGTATCGTCTGATTCATCAGAAAACTATCCATCAATGAGAAACTCAACTGACTGGATGTTGAATTTCCCACCAAATCGGCATAGTTTGTGGGGTATGACTGTATTGTGCTACGTGCGTTACAACAAAAACGAGAAACACGTGAACAGAGCACTCAGTCGCATAACGGTTTGGGAATGCACTGAACTGACAGTCGGTGCACAAATTGAAATTTATGAGAACTTGGAATTATGGTGTTCGCCGACATTGGCCGATGTTAGGTTAACGGCATTTAAGCCATCACAACACCATTAAATCTTTAATAATTATCTGTTCTTTCTTAACCGTTTTACTTATTGCCTACTATTTTTAATGGCAGGGTATATTGCGAAATATGGCTTCAATGGTGCTGAGATATTTGCTGGGCTGAGGTGCTTTGGGGGTAGTTCTCACAGATCCTCCCAACGGTTTACCGCCTCATTGTGGCTGGGAGGTGTTCATGGATGACGGACTGCGCTATACAGGGGGGATTCATCCCTTTCCTAAGCTGAGAAGGAGTCCGGCGTTTCCATCAGGAAGACTAGCTAACAGTTAACCAATAGCAGGATCCACCACCGTTATGGTATAAAACTACTCACATGGTGGCAAATCTCCCTCTGATCCACTACAGCTGCTACTGTCTGTGATGGTGAAGACCTGGGGCAGATTTTTTCCAGGCTGATCTCAGGCCCCCAGGAAGCCACAATGGCGAAACCAGCAAAACTCTAAAGAAGGGGAATTTTTCTGCGACCCGAACAACCAAGGAGGACGGACCATTCCAATGTCAAGTACCAAGTAACTTTCATTTGTCCAAAAACAAATAAGAAATGCAAGTTCCACGGAAAGCTAATTTGGAGAGGTTTTTCGAAGAATTATGAAACCTGGCACTTTCAACAACTTTCTTAAGTTCACAGATATTAGACAAATTCCTATTAAATTGATAGTGAAATTGGTTCTCAATTTCCCTATCGCCTTTGGAAGCGGTCATTCAATGAAGAACCTACTAGAGGTACTGAGCAAAAGGGTCTTCTTAGCAGCATTAAGGCTATACTTATCTATCAAGCCAAAACTCTTATCCTCACAAATCGTGATGGTCTATTCTTTTCTTCAGTTATTTTTTCTTCAATCATTTATTCATAGCGAAATTTCGGAGAGATATTTCAGCAAATGACATCCGAAAAGTAGTAAGACATACATAAGAGCATAGCAAGTTTTTGAAATTTTATTCCTCTTTAGTACATTTCATGCGTCATCGGGTCGACTAATTCGTGGTTAAATGAATTGCACAAGGTGCCCTCAAAAATAAGAACATTATATAACATTATATTATAGTTAGACTTATTCGCAAGCCAATAGATGTCCCTTCAATTCCCTAAACTCCTTGCAACGCAAAAGCTTCAGATATAATTAGTCGTGGTTATATTTAGATCGAATATCGGATGATCGACGAAAGACATTGAACAGGACCCATTCAAACAGTTATGAGTATTTTCTAACTCTATTATCGTCACAGAGTTCATTCCAAGACGAAGGAAAGCCGACGGAACGTAGAGTGTATACTGAAAAACCTTCAAAAAATGATAGGTCTATCTTCCAAATGGAGAATTCGGTTTACCTGCGGTCCTTCACTGGCCCAATATCGTCCTAAATTCTTCCCATTCACTATCGCTACACCCTTTCCCCATCCTTTTGTATTCAAGAACGTGTCAGTCGGCATGCTGACGTTAAAAAAACCACGATACAAACCATGAGCGCCAGCGGATTGCTGAAATGTTTGAAACGAAGAAGTCGAATTCAACTCTTGGCAATTCTGCTCAATTTCGGGATAACAAAATACCGCGGGCGGATTTGACGTAACGCTAGCATCGTCTCTCGTGCTACTCTCTCGCAAACAAAAGCTCTATTCATCGTCATTAAGTTTCGTTGTAGATTTTTATCCTTATTTTCGAATAACAACTGTGATTCTATTCACAAGAAGAAGGTTTAAATGAATTGAGGCCACGGTGATTTGACGAGACGGCATTACTTAACAACGATTTACCATGCTCGGAGAAACGATGTCTGCATAGTCGTTGGCAATATTCATTTTGCATTGAATCCAACCATTGAGTACTATTTCGTCCATTTCGACATCAGAAATAATGCCCTTAAAGTGAATCATATAACTTTGAAAGTCAAAATGATATGTGAACTTAGAAACGAACAACTTCAGCTAAGAAGTCAAAGTGGGACCAACGTCTTTTTTGTGAAATAGTTCGCGACAATATCGGCAAAAACTTCGTTGTTTTAACAGAAAAAATAAACTATGGATATCAAGCAAAGTGATTATTCAGCAATACAAATTCTTAATTTTTCTTCCAAATTCAAAGTTTTTGGATATGATACAAGAGTTAGTGAAGTTTCGCGAGAGTAGAAAAGACCGCTCTAATCTCTCACCTTCATCGATTTAAAGAACGCCTTTGACTGAATTCAGATAGAAGCAGTCATAGAAGCTCTTGATAGTCAGGGAGTTCCTCCTCGCTACATAAGGATTCTTCGTGAGCTGTACAAAAATTTCACAACCAAGATATCACCATTCTACAACGATATTAACATCGACGTCAAAAGAGCGGTTAGGCAAGGTGGTACCATACCGCCAAAATCATTCACCGCCACCCTGGAGAACGTCATCGATGGTCGGCAATTCGCTTTGCTGATAATATCGTCCTTATAACACCAAACATTAGCGAAGCGGAACGAAAGCTTGCCGACTTTGATAAAGTCTGTGGAAAGATTGGTCGTTTACTAAATCTCACAAAAACGATGTTCATTAGGAACGAATTGGTTTCGTAAGCCCCATTCACGCTCAACGGAACGAATATCTCTGAATGCTCCAGTTATGCCTATCTAGGTCGGGAAACCAAGATGATGAACGACTTAGCTCCAGAGTTGAGCAGAAGGAAACGGGCGGCTTGAGGAGCTTTCGAGAGCATCGAGGATGTAGTGGAGAGGACAAAGAACACACGACTCCGCGCCCACTTTTTCGACTCAACGGTGCTTCCTACATTAACGTATGCGTCAGAAACCTGGTTGCTGCTTAGACGGAATGAAAGGTCACTCAGCGTTATCGAACGCGCAGTCGAAAGGACGATGCTAGGAGTACCCCGTGTCACGCAAGTAAGGGAAAGAATCCGATACTCCGACCTACGTCAACGATCAAAAGTCGGTGATAGCGTTCTATATGCCAAGCAGTCCAACATAAGGTGGGTCGGGCATGCAGTGCGCATGAATGATAGCCGATGGACAAGAGGCGTTATTGATTGGATTCCCCAGGATGTCAAACGCACTGCAGGAAGACTACCGACGCTATGCTCAGATTTCTTGACTAAAAGCCTAGAAAAACAAAATGATGTCAACGAGTCTCTAGAGCGAGCAGAACCCACTGGGCTACTTTTGTACGCGACAGGGAAGAATAGAAGATTTATTGGCTACCGCTCGAGTCAATCGACACTCAACGAGACTGCAGGTGGTACAGGTAATGAATTTTTGCATTAAAGTAGAATTTTTTAACACCAGCTGCCTGCACATTTACCTTGCGGATCTCATAACCTTGAATTTGATTCACATGCTGCAATCCAAGATCCACAATGGTCTTCGAACATTTCGCGTGCTGTTTTATCTGGTGATTGAGGAATTCCCCGTCTTTATGAATGTCGTAGAATGCTGGTCGAGTCGATTCGTCTTGAAATATTGAAGACAGTCGGACCAAGGCGTTTCACGTGGTTTGGGGGAGAGCGTTGGGAGAGAGACGAACTAGCACCTCTGCTTCCTGATGGACGGCATCAATAACCACTGCGCTCTCCCTGCTTTCCTTATAGTAGAACAGATTTACTTATTAGGGTTAATGTACATATGCTTATACTTAATTATCCATTATAGACAAAATAGCATCTTTTGCTTTTACAGACTTCTTCAGAGAGTAAAAAAAGTATTTGAATCCATTGTATTAAAGCCTTAGCCCTCATCACTCCCACCATCTGTAAAAATTACTTAGAATAATCGTTATTTCCGTTATTTTGTTACCAACATTATCATAATATTCCTGCCTGCTTAATCGAACTATACCTGCTCGCGTAGGTTTTACACTGAAGTTAGCTGGAAAACATAATTTATTATCCGTATCTGTAGACACTTTCGCTGTCTAAAAATCAAAGGCTCAATTTTATTAACTCCACACTCTCCTTGGAAGTTCGAAAATAGTGTCATCCGTTCTTCCCGCTTAGAGGCCGGCTCTACAACCAGCATCTCGTTCTCGCTCCTGGTTTCTCGCTTTACTAATATGACTTCACTTTATTGTCATGCAATCGTTTTCCTTCAGTGGTTTGCGCGATATTAATTCGTATCGCCTATTCAAACAAATCTTATCTTCATTACCGCTTGTTTTGACTCCCATAATATCACTTGCAACTACATCTTTTTATGTTAATTACATCTGTGTGATGCTGTACTATAGCACCTCATCGACATGTAATCGTAAGGTTAAATACCTCCATATAACCCTCCCTTGCTTCCATATAGTAGGCAGTCCCTAATACCGTAACCGTTTATATAAGCCTTGCATGCTAACCCTACCATATTACTACTATTGTGCTCTTTTTTGCTATTCAGATATATGGGTTTAATTACCAAAGTTTGGAGCTCATTGCGGTACACACAAGTAAAAGTCCCACGTAGCGAACAAGAAGTCAAGAATTCAGCTGGCAGACACAGGGTAAATTCGATCAACTCATTTACTCTATGGCTTAATGCCTCGTCAAAGCACATCCATTAATTTCCCATCGCCTTAACTGATTCTATCATCTTACCAAGCCACGTTTTATTTCCAATCACCGTGTTCAAACTTTGCATCAAAAAAAGTTCAGCGTCATCAATTAACACTCATTATGTACTCCAGCTAAGCTCGAATCACATGCGTTCGACCACCATGTAAAAAAAGGATGAAGCTCTTGGTGTTGATCAATCTTTGAGGAATGCGCCGTGCATTCGACTTCATTGAGCATCATTTGGAAGTGATTGAATGAATATTTGATCTCTACAATGACTCGCGGTGGCCTACCGATGTATCGAACCAGTGCTGCTATTCTCCCAGGCAAGTCTGCTACCAATTCGCCCACCCCAGAAAGGGGAAAGACTTGGTGGGCTATGGGCGCTGGTATCGGTTCCATATGTGTGTTGCAGGGCGCCTCCGACCATTGCGCCACACACGCCCTTCGACTACCAGGTGAAGGAAATAATCCCCAATAAAAACTCCTTGCAAATTATAAATGTTGGAGATGTCAACACTAGAATAGGAAAACCTAATCAAAATCAGTACGTGACAAAAAATTTTATTAAGAGTTCGAGAAAGTGGAAAGATTTTGGTTCGCATCACTAGTAAGTTTTTGCCTGAAAATTCACTCGTCGAGTAATGGAACAATCTCTTTGGACATAGGAATACCTATATAACACGGTTGATGCGAAGATTTCTCACATGTTCACAAGCAGCGAATTACTTTTTCTCGAAAGCCCCACTATTCTGCTCAAAATGCGATGAACATGGCCTTCATGCTTCTTAAATGATTTCAACTCTAAATCGAAAAGAAGTTCCCCTCTCGGGCAAGAAGAAAAACAAAAGTCGTTTATGACAAAAAGTTCCGGGTGTAACAGTATGTTCACTAGTTCCTAAATTAAGAACCTCGGTTCAAATCTCTACCCCCACCACTAAAGTGCTCGAGAAGAGAAAAAACTGGGGATAAACCCAACTTCAAGACATGCTAACAATCGCCTTGGAAGGATTCATGTTGAAAAAACTTTTGGAGACAGTTAAAAAAACCAGTGGGACTGCTATTGGAGAATTGGTGAATATGGTGTTCGGTTATTGGCATTACTGAACAAAGTCTGCGTTCCTACTACCTCCCACCATGGCGTAACATTATTTACCGTGGAAGTTCTAATCTATTTCTAACCGTTAAAAACTTCTTTAGAAATTCCTAAAGTCCTGCTTCAAAGCAACCGAAAACAGAAAAAAGGAGCTAAAATCAAAAGCAAGTAGCAGACACAGGTCTAGGAGTACATAACACAGTCAGCTTTTTTCTAAACCGATGCCAGAAACTACAAGGACAACACATCCTAAAAAGAAAAGAATCCTGGGCAGTAGATCTCAGGCCAAATCTCTAGCAATAATACCTGCGTAAAGTGATGTTCGAAAACTGAAAGATTGAGAAAAGAGGTAGTCTTATGAATAAATAGAAAAGCGGACACCGTAAACGTAATGAAGGATAATATAAGGCAAAAGAAGGGAAACGTGGACGCATTTGTGTCCTTCAGAGAAACCGCTGGCCAAGTGAGTGAATAAAAAAATTCACGCTCATCTTCTTGCTTCGATTATTCCACCCGTTCGCTTTTGTGCACCGTCGAAGCTCGAACTAGTTTGAGAAGTTTATGGAACACTCACAGGACACTTTAACCGTGTATTTCGAAACATAGTCGCCACAAAACAATATCAATCCTGATTTGAGACCTTCCATAAATGTGTAAGCCTTTGATTCCATAGAAACATAATTTATAACAGAAGCTTATCAAGCAAACAGAAGAGTAGTGCGGTGATGACGCAGCGGGGTATAAGCATCCTCTTGGGCGATTCTCTAAAGGATATGTGGCTCTAATTAGAGCATTTTGAGTAGCTGAGTTTATGGCTGCAAGTGTTTCGTGAAATTAACCCTCCGCAAAGTCGACGGACATTCTAAAAGTAGACGACCACCGTGAAAAATGGGCATGTGAGAAAAGATTGAATGGGAGAGGTGTCTAATACTCATGATTCATGAAAGCGAGCTACATAATTACGTAGAGTAGACCTAAAGTTACCTTAGGATCGTTAATGGTTTCGAATGTTTGGCGGCCTTGATTTTCGACTAGGATGATCAGTTTGTCGCCAGGAGCACAGCCATTCAAACCCACACTGTTTTTAGACTTACCATAATATGAATGCACAAGTGTACCCTGGAATAATGTAAAATCCGATGAAAAACTCGTGAGGATCAGGAAGCGACTTACCAAATACATACCAAGTGCTTTTTTTGTAAGTAGACATATCCAAAGTCTTTCAACTGCTTTACATGAAGTCGTTTGCCACAGGTTTCCATTTTCTGAATTTTTGCATTCTTTTTCATCGGAGAAAATAGAGAGCTTGAAATATTATAGTTAAATGACGCTCAGCGAGACGCTATAATGTGCAAGATATCTTAATCGGCAGACCAAGAATTTAAATGGGTGGGTGGAACGGCAAAGCTTTATAGGAACTAAACACACCCTTGTGTAGAGAACAAATCCGAATGGCTGGCCGATTTGTTCGAACGACATTGGAAGCTCAGAAAAGACACAATTTCTTTCGTTAGGTGGTTCTGAGAGGTCGTTCAGCGGTTGCAGGTTCAGAACTCCGAACGCTGTTTTTCTTAACGATTAGTAATGTTTTCCTATAGTCATTCTGCTTTTCTAAATTGAACAGTGCAAAATATTAACAGTTATGAAAAAAGCTAGTTGCCAATAATGTATAAGCCAACGGATTGTTTTTCGGAATATCTAACGGCCGAGTTTTCCATCCAGGAATCCCTTTTATCCATGATCGAATCGCTAAGTACTTCTCAGTGATATCACCTGCTTCGGAAATTGGAGCAAAATAGTCGTACGACGTTATACACTGAAAAAAAAGGATTACATAAGATTTAACATATCAGACAATTTAGACAGGGGCGTGTAGCGTCATGCAGTAAGGTAAAACTCGCAGGGAACCAAACATTTGATTTCATGGTCTTCTGTCAATCATATGTTCACCGTAAAAGACGAAGCTTTTCATCGAACCCTTTAGGAAAGTACAATGTATTCCACCTCATTTCTGTCCTGTATAGGTTATTGGATAAATATTTGGCCCAAACATTGAGTTGCGGTATCATGCCGATGTATTCAACCAGTGTTTTCATCCTTCCAAACAAGCCTGGTCGTATTTTCCGAGAGGAATATGGGACTTGCTTAGCCCGAGTGGAGCACCTCTATCAACTGCACTGTGTCCGTCTTAAGTGAATGATATAATACAACAAATCAAAAATGCCTTACACAGTGTAAAACTGGTGGCATTATATTGCTTAAATCGTTATTATGAACTCAGAAAACACACCGGTGCATTGTTCTCGGCTCCGCTCCAAAATCCGAAGTTCGTTCCGCCATGAATCATGTAGAAGTTCATACTTGCTCCCAAGCTGTACATATCTAAACGTGGAAACAATCACGTATTAAGAAGAACACCATGTTAAAGCAGTGTTATTTATCAAGACTCCAAAACTGACTTTATTCGTATGAAATGCTGAGATATTTGCAAAACTCCGGACCACAGGTGCATGCAGTGGGGAACGAACACGCGCTGTTGTCCTTACCTGAAAGCGGCGCACTTCACCACTACACCAACCGGGTCCTTCGTTTTGTCTGTCTCTCCACAAATTCTATCGATCTTCTTTGCCATCAGCAATCACCCGTCAACGGGAAGAAGATCGATTGAACTAGCCGAGAGACAGGCAAAACGAAGGACCCGGTTGGTGTAGTGGTGAAGTGCGCCGCTTTCAGGTAAGGACAACAGCGCGTGTTCGTTCCCCACTGCATACACCTGTGGTCCGGAGTTTTGCAAATATCTCAGCATTTCATACGAGTTATATTTCGCAATATACCCTGCCATTAAGAAAAAAAGGCAGTAAATAAAAGGGTTAAGACTGAGTTTATTATTCTTCGAGTGTGTTGTGATTAAATACCAACTTCTAACAAAGAGAATGAAGAGAAAGAATTTTAAAAATGACTTGGAATGGTACATAGATTCCTCTTACCTAAAATAATAATGATAATAGTGAGCTTAAATGAAACTTACATTGCGCTGACTCTACAACACTTTTCGTACTGGGAATGGTTACAGTTTTTTCACCCCAGAGCACAAACCATCCCGGATAGAACTCCGAGTTCACGAGAGGACCCTGTCCTAGAAAATAAAGTGCATTAATCTCATCCATGCTACGTTCAGAGGTAACACGTGCGATTATTTTTCAGAGGAAAAATATTGCTAGTTCAGTGTTCTGAACTGTGCATAAGATGATTTCATAAAATCGCACTGCCAATAATAAAATGACCTAATCTTATCTTAAGTTTTAAAACATTCTAAACAATAAAAACTCTAACAGGCTCTGAAGAAGGCGATACTGCCGAAACGTCAGCTAGCGTTTTATGTATTGTGTTTCTCCATGGAAGTAAATGTATGCTGTTTAAAAACCTCGCGATTGTTGAACAAGAACACGACGCATTCACATTCCAATGCCGAGGTTAAGAGAAAGTCGATCCTTGGAACTATTACAAGATGTACCAGCAAAATACTTTCGACTTGTGAAGGAAGCATTGTCACTAAGACAGAAGATTGTCTTAGCTAAACAGCTAATTAACTTCCTCCGCCGCTGTTTTCAACATCGAGTCGTGCCGAAGTTTATAAAACGAAAGCGGCTTCACGAGATATGCGGTCAACCAGAGGGCAGCCAACAAGTACGAGGCATCGAAATGGAACTACTTCGAGCTGCACTACGAAGCAAGCAGAACGAGAGTTTGCCAGAATGAAGAAGTGTGCAACGAAGGAACATTTTTGTGCTTTGTATTTGGAGGATCGCCTTTGGAGGAGGATAGTTGGCGGGTGAATATTGATATGCGATTTTATTAGATCTAACGCCAAAATAACCTTACAACGGAAATTCGAAAATCTTTTGGGTAATTCACACGCCTCAGCTTCAAGAAACAACCGCAGACGAATTTCTTACGTTTCTGATAATAGTCAAAATGGGGTTGATAATGCACTAAGAAAATCTAGGGTAACCGTGATTGGGGGCATAACAATACCTGAGAATGCGTGCTCGCTATTAGAATTGGGCCCAAGTTTTGCACCATCACAGCCCATTTCTAAAACGACCCTGCGTAGGATAGCATGCAACCTTTATGAGCTACAAGATCGACTCCGCTATCAGGCCAAGCAAGAAACATCAAATAGAGATAAAAATCAAGAGGCGGCGGCACTACCACCATCTCCTTTCCCTAAAACGTTCTTTAGACAGCAGGACCCTAACGATGGAGTTGACACAAAATTCTGCGTGTTTTCGGACGGCGTTCTCAAGGCCCTTGATCATTACCGCGATAGATAGTTTATCTCTAACTTTACAGCCGCACAAAAATGTGGCATGCGGGAAATTAGAGAATTAATAAACTCGAAAACAATAAGATTGTCTGTTAGTGATAAGGGGGGAGAGTTCGTAGTTATCCCTCGCCAGCTGGATTTTGAGATAACAGAGGAACATCTTAGTGATGCTACTCTCTATCGCCCATCCTCTGAAAAGGAATAGTCTCTGAAAAGGAAAAGGAATAGAAAAAGGAAAAGTCAATACCGAAAGCTAAACAATCAATGGGTCAGCGTGGCAAAGGCTGCAGATTTAAAATCATCGGTTATTTCGCACTTTAAAATCGATAGACCAACATGTCCCGTCCTATACCTACTTATTAAAACACGTAAGTTGGTATCACCTGATGATCATGCGTCAACCAATCCGTCATCATTTAAGGTTAGACCGATCATCAGCTATGTAGACGGGCCAACGGATGGAATAACTTGGTTTTTAAGCCTGTACTTACCCAGTTGCTTAACCACATTCCAGCTTCACTCACAAACACCCAAATGTTCCTACAACGTCTACGTAACGCGTCTTCTAATAACGCGTACGTGATGGAGTCTTTCGACGTTACCGCACTGTACACCGACGTGTCGAATGACTCCGCAATGCAAACTATCTTCGATCTTCTTGTTGAACATGAAAGAAGAATAAATATGCATGGCTTGTCCATCCAGCAGCTAATGACTCTCTTAAAGTAGTGCCTAAACTGCTCGATTTTCAGATGGTCTGGGAAATATTTCGCGCAAATAAGACGGTTGGCAATGGGACAGCGATTGGCACCAAGCCTTGCCATTGTGTTTATGTCTAAGATAGAAGCCCCTGTTTTCGATCTCCGGCCACTACTCTACTGCAGATATGTAGATGATTGTTTTGTCGTCTTCTCTACGCAGGAGGAGATGGACAAATGCTTCGAATTATTAAACGAGCAGTCCGAGTACATAAAGTTCACCCGGGAAAAACCGAGAAAAAACTGGCTTCCGTTTTTGGACGTTCAAATAAACCAATCAAGTAGCGGTTACCTGACAAAGTGGTATCGAAAGCCAAGTAACAAGAACATTCTTGTTCATTTTCTTTCTACCCACCCTTCACACACAAAGAGGGCGATTATGAGAAACATGTTTCGAACAGCCACCTCTGTGTGCACTACCAGGGAACTAAAGGAAGAGTCGCGCGACTTGGCTCAGCAAATAGCCATCTCCAATGGCTACGAAGTAGTAACTCCACGAGAGAAGGTTAGGAGGAGAGCGACGCGCCCACGCGAAACACTTGGCCAAAAGAAAGTCCCGTTTATGTTGCCTTTTATAAGCGTAGCTATAAAACGATGTTTAAGAAGGGCAAGTCTAGAGGAATCGGTAGCGATAGTTGAAATACCACCGGCTACTCTACGTCGTCAATTAGTTCGTAACCGCCTGTACGACCGTCTATGTGAAACAACAAATTGCGTAATTTGCCCTTGCGGCAGGGACGGTGATTGCATGAGTTCAGGTACGATATACCTGATCTCTTGTAATAATTGCCGAGATGAATATATTGGCGAAACGGGCAGACCTTTGTGTATCCGTATAAAAGAACACCTAGATGATGGTGCAGTCGTCAACCACATAAAAAGCGGTGGGTTTTTTCGAAAAGTTGTTGATCGTGTAATAACCAAAGAGTTTTTCGTCTTTTGTAAGTGTTATTGAAGCGTTTGGCCTAGTAGATTGTATATCAGCATGCCCTTCCAGGCTCTGAAGAAGGCGATACTACCGAAACGTCAGCTAGCCTTGTATTGTATTGTGTTTTTCTATGGAAGTAAATGTATGCTGTTTAAAAACCTCGCGATTGCTGAACAAGGAAATATATAGGCACAAACAGGCCATCGTCTTGACAAAAACAGTAGGGGTGAAGTGTCTCACAGAAAATCCGAGTGCTAATCATGACACAAAAGACGAAACTCATTGGGCTTCTCTTACGCTGCATCATAAAAGTGAAGAACTCCCTGGCTCACTGGTTCCGGCTTTGTTCATTCAATGTTCAGTCTGGTTATAACTGTAATAAATTAACAAAAAATCTTTCAAATCACAATTTGCAACTGAACTCGTTCAAAACTAAATTATTTAACCAGTTCATGATTTCGTCCAACTTGAAATAAAAAGCTTTTGAAAGCTGGTGGTAAAAATTTCATTGAATCAATCTTGCCTTGTGGTAAGAACTTCTTTTGCGCGCTGAACGAGGCGTTGATCGCCGCCTTTGAAGATGGACCGAAATCGACTGTAGCCAAAGTATCAGGGACTGTCCCACACTTTAAGAATGAGTCCCCACTTCCATCTGCTTAAGTAGAAATAAATTGGAAAAGTGCATTATGGAACCATAATGGTAAGATTTCCTGAGTTAAGACATGGCGGACCAAGAAGAACAATTTCTTCTGCTGTTGCTCTGAACCCTTTCTACAATTTAGAAAACAATTTATGTCTTAACAATTACCGGCTTATAGCCCATTTTATATGCTACGGTTCGAAACGCTACGAATTCTGGGTCAATATCTGTTCAGTTCCACCAAGCTTCTCGTGTTAAAACGAGAAAAAACGAATTCATATGTACGTGTGGACACAAAATCCTTCAGTTTCAAGCCTATGACTTTTTAATGAAAACGATACTTGGTCTGCCAATCAAAGAAATTGTCGAAACACACTTGTATAGACTACTGTATCCTTTCCAAGAAACTTCCTTGTTAAATCTCGCAACCATGCAGTGTAATTCCTAGATAGGAAGGTTAAATGGAAAAAACGCCGTTGCAGAAACAATATAAGAATAATAGAGAAAAACAATTGATTACCTGTCGCACTCCTTATAGCTACCGTATTCGTTTTCAATTTGAACCATCAAGACAGGACCGTTGTTTTTTCGCAAAAGTGGTTTGATAAGAGGCAGAAGCACAGAGAACCAAGTTTGCACAGCGTTTTTGAAGCTAAACTTCTCCATCACCTTGCAATGATATCAAAACCATACCTTAAACTACTTTGTAGCAAAGGAAAAATCGACTTTTTCGCAATCTTTCATTGTGTATTATCCCTTGCACTTTGTCGATATCCCAAAGTTCATTGCTTCGTTACGGCTCACGAAGGCTGCGATGTGCAACTGTCATCAGTAGCGCCTCCCTAGCTTAACTGTTCCATTTGTAGCTCCACATAGGAGCTGCCTGCTCCAAAATTTGATTCGTTCGATTCAACTACTCGCATCTACCATCCAGAAGAACTACATGCAAGTAAGTTTACTGTTGCATAAGAATAGTGGCTTTCTTTGTCAATGTCGTTGAGAGCTGATAAAGTTGATTCCCAGTAGGGTTCCGAGATAGCTCATTGAAGCCTTTACCACAGGCAGTCGTCAATTTCTTCATCAAAAACCTTCTTTTCAAACAATGCTGGCACCAATTAGTGGATTCTGGATGGCTGGAAGTTCAGCTTGCTTGGAGCTGCTTCGGGCCTTGTGCGCGCCAATGAACGGCACTGACTAGTTATGGACTTCTCGATTATTTCAGGAAGAAAAACAGTGAAAAAAGTAGCAAATATATGGACCAAACTGCAGCAACTTATTAAAAAAGTAAGGCAGATATTTTTGACGTGTTGAGCAAAATTTGAGCATATGACAACGAAATTCCCATCACCGCTTATCACCAGTTCGCATAGACGAAATGTTCTTGTTGAGCAACCACCATGGCAATCCACCATTCTCCCATTCACCACATATGTAGGGACCTAAACAATATAAAGAATCCCGAAAAACTACAAATTGAATGAAATAATTACTATAGCAATACCCAGCCTAATCAATGAGTACATTCCCAGTTCATGAGCGATGATAGAGAATTCGCTGAAGTTGCGTCCTCCGGCAAAGTTATACCTAATTAAATATTATTGGATATAGAAAAAATGGTATTTTATCTTAAGTTTTTCCTAGTTTCAGTTTTCACTGGAACGATTCGATCGACCTCGATGGTTTACCGACTCACGGTGGCTAAGTAGTGAATGTGGATATCGAACAGCAATCTACAGAGAGATTTTCACCTGCTTCAAAAGCTAACGAGATTGATGGCTCCATTGAAAGAAAGATCTAAGAGTAAACCAGCAATGCAAATTTTTGCCGCCCTGAAAGATAAACGAAAGGTGGAAAACCTCTTTCCAACTCATGAGGTCCACTAAAATTTTAGGTTACCAGGATTATTGGGCAGGATTATTTGCGAAGACGGACGGTTAAAGTAATTGCGTAAACGAGGTAACCTAATTCCGTTATCGCACACAAACCCATTAGTCATTGCTAGAAAAAAATTAAAATTACCGTTAAAAAATTACCATAAGGCTAATATTCGGCAAATTTTTAAAATTAACACACTATCATAGGAAATCCACCCAACGGTTGCCGCCTCATCGTAGCTGGCAGGTGTTCTTGGGTGTCGAACTGCGTTGTACAGCGGAAACATTCATCCCACTGGCAGGGCTTTCCAAGCTGAGAAGGAGTCCGGCGTTTCCATTAGGAAAAAGTTTCTCATTCTGATCCACAAAGGCTGCAACTGCCCGTGGTGAAGACCTGGGACATACTTTGGCCAGACTGACCTCGGGACTCCAGGAACCATAATGGCTAATCCACCAAATTTCCGAAAAATGGAGATTATGCTGGGACCTGCACAACAAGTGAGGAAGAGCCATTCAAGTATCAAGTACCAAGTAAGTATCATAGAAAATAAATAAAATCAAAGCATACAAACTTTATCTAACGAAATTATTACATAAAAACTTCGGAAAAAATGATGTATCCGATTCATTCTACGCGAAACTTTATTGCAAAGAATCGAGGAAATTGTTTAGCTGGCCAAAAATCTTCGGAATTGTTTTTCTCTTTCAAGGTTTTGTGTTATATTACACACCAACCCGCTTGCACCGATTATCTACAGACGAAGTCATAGAACATTTAAGGATTGGAATGTGAGAAAACCCAACAACAAGAATGGTGCAGAATCTTCCGAATCTACAAGAATAAGCGATTACCTCGTGGAGGGACACATAAGAAAATTTTCACATGATGTTTTATTGTAGTTGTTTTTATGTGGAAACTATTATACCTTTGCAATACCTAGCGTCTAACACTTGCGAAAAACAAACATTTGCATTTGTTTTAGGAAAAGTTGCATCGCCAGTTTCCATCTCTCCAAATGAGTGTTTTCGACCATCTCGGATCTCTTCATGGGTTGCTTCGGATCATTTTTTCAAAGACCAATTAGATTAGACATTCGTAAATTTTAAATAAAAGTAAATTCACCTCTATCACCTGCATTCTCAAAGATCGTCGAGTGACTCGAGCGAGCGCCACTAAATCTTCCATTTTTCCAGACGCGTACAAGAGTGGCCCAGTGGGTTCTGCTCGCTCTAGAGAGTCGTTGACATCATTACGTTTTTCTAGACCTTTAATGAAGAACTCTGAGCATCGCCTCGGAGGTCTTCCTGCAGTGCGTTTGACATTTCGAGGAATCCAGTCACTAACGCCTCTTGTCATTCGTACGCACTGCATGCCCGACCCACCTTATGTTGGACTGCTTGGCATATAGAACGCTATCTCCGACTTTTGATCGTTGACGTAGGTCGGAGTATCGGATTCCTTCCCTTACTTGCGTGACACGGGGTACTCCTAGCATCGTCATCGATATTATCAGGTTTCTGACGCATACGTTAACGTAGGAAGCACCGTTGAGTCGAAAAAGTGGGCGCGGAGTCGTGTGTTCTTTGTCCTCTCCACTACATCCTCGATGCTCTCGAAAGCTCCTCAAGCCGCCCGTTTCCTTCTGCTCAACTCTGGAGCTAAGTCGTTCATCATCTTGGTTTCCCGACCTAGATAGGCATAACTGGAGCATTCAGAGATATTCGTTCCGTTGAGCGCGAATGGGGCATGCGAAGCCAATCCGTTCTTCAAGAACATCATTTTTGTGAGATTTAGTAAACGACCAATCTTTCCACAGACTTTATCAAAGTCGACAAGCATTCGTTCCGCTTCGCTAATGTTTGGTGTTGCAAGGAAGATGTCATCATCAAAGCGAAGATGGTGTAATTGTCGACCATCGATTTTCACTCCCATGCTGTCCTATTCCAATGTTCGTATGACGTTCTCCAGGGTGGCGGTGAATGATTTTGGCGGTATGGTACCACCTTGCCTAACCGCTCTTTTGACGTCGATGTTAATATCGTTGTAGAATGGTGATATCTCGGTTGTGAAGTTTTCGTACAGCTCACGAAGAATCTTTATGTATTGAGTAGGGTGCGCTGACTATAAAGAGCTTCCATGATTGCTTTTATCCCAACTGAGTTAAAGGGCTTCTTTAAATCGTCGAACATGAGACAGAGCAGCCTTTTGTACTCTCGCGATATTTCGGTGAGCCTTGTTATCATGTGGATGTAGTCCATCGTACTAAATCTTTTTCGAAACCCTGCTTGCCCACATGACTGCCCTTCTTCCAGTGTTCTGTCAATCCTGTTTAGGATGGCTCGAGTGATGTGATAGACAGCAAGTAGATTGGGCGATAGTTGCCGATAACGCGTAGGTCACCCTTCTTGAAAAATAGTGTAGTATAATAGATCTTTTTTTTATCGGCTGTCTGCACTGTTTTGCAAGTTCGGACGTTAGTTCGCGGTTGCCTGTAGCTTGTACGATACCACGCTGGCATGTCAGCTCGAGAGTTTCTGGAGACAGGCGCCTGTTGGTGACTTTCGATCTTTCGGCTTTCATAGCGCTAACGTGAGGATGTTGAATGAGCCGATCGTATTCTTCGTCGATGTTATCGACAACGGTATCTTCGCAACAGCCAACTAATGCAGTGAATTAGTCCCAGTTTATAGTGGTTTTGGGACTTGGTTTTTGAACTTAGCGGCTTTTCCTCCTTCCTGCGAAAAATGGAGTCTTGCACGAAGAAGGCGGTGGTCTGATCCCGTGTAGAATTTTAGGCCAACGGCGAACTCGGTTAGGCAGAGTCTTCTGTTTATTATGATATAGTCCATTTCGTTATTGTACACTATTTGGAAGCTCACGTTTAGCGTCGAGAGTGGGACTTTTGGAATTGCAGGTTACCATGGATGGTCCTGGTCGTCGTGGGTCCAGTTTTAGCGTTAAAATATCCAGTGGTGACCTTGAAGGATGTATGGTCTTCTCTGTAGAACTTCATCAAGTTCACATAGGACGATGCGCGTAAGCGAAGAAAATTTTCAAAGCCGGCTTTGATCCACTTCTCCTCATTCGTAAACGTCCGACTCGGGTTGCTAGTTGCTCAGAAGAATCGATGTTCATGGACAAACTCATGTTGACGAGAACGCCGACGCTGCCGACTCCTCTACTGTCGCATGTTCCGAGAGCCATTTCTTCTCCGGTGTCATGGACGGTGTTGAATGGGTGGTGTCGTCTCTTCTTGGCCATGCCGTTAACGTCGTACCATATCTTTCTCGCTTGCATGATCAAGTTTTCTATCGAGAACTCGGATGCAAGGGTACGTGTATTGTAGGCACAGTTCGTCACCTTAGTTCTTCGTAGTCTAGTTGTTCTTTTATGCAGATACAAAATGGTCTACCCGTTTCCCCAATATATTCCTCACCGCATGCGTTACATGAGATCAAATATATTATACCTGAACTCATGCAATCCCCTTTTTTCTCGTTGGGACGGATCATACAGTTTTTTGAGCTGCACAAACGATGATAAAGACGGTTGCGAACTAACTGATGGCGTAGGGTATTGGGTGGGATGTCAATAATCGTTACATAATTTTTGGGACCAGTTTTTCTTAAGCATCTCTTAGTGGAGCAACTTTATCTGATATGAGGTGTAGCTTAAAAAGGATCTTACTTACGTCCGAAACATTATTTTAGTGAAACTACCCGACGTTTTTGCCTAACCCGAGTGCCTACAACTTCGTAGCCATTGGAAATGGCTATTTTTCGTGCCAGGTTTAGCGATTTTTACTTTCCTCTTCTCCTGTGCACACATTTCTAGTCGTACGGTAAATGTTTTCGATAAGTGCTTTTTTAATGTGTCAAGTATGAGAGGAGAGGTGGTGAACTAGTGTATTTCTACTGCTTGGCTTACGATACCATTTTGTCATATAGCCACTTTGTGAGAACTTTAATTGGATGTAGAAGAATGCAAGCTAGTCCTCAGTCGGTTTTTCCCGTGTAATTTTATATACTATGACTGTCGGTTTAACAATTCAAAGCACTCATCCATCTGTTCTTGTGTGGAACAGACGGTGAAGCAGTCTATGTATCGACAGTAGAGTAAGGGTCAGCGGCCGAGAACCGGAGCTTCCACCTTAGACATAAAAGCGACGGCAAGGTTTGGTGCTAAACGCTGTCCCATGGCCAACCTTCTGATTTGTGCAAAGTATTTTCCGAACCACCTAAAGATTAAATAACTTAGACACCGTTATAAGAGAGTTATTTTCTTTTCGTGCTATACGAGAGCAGCTCGGGAATGGTTTGCATTGCGGACTCATTCAACACGTTGATATAAAGTGAAGGAACACCGAATGACTCCATTACATGCGTGCTGCTCGGCTGCGCGCACCGTAGGTGGTCTAAAAACATTTTGGTGTTGGGCTGGAATAAATTTTAGCAACTGGGTCAAGATAAGGTTTAGACCTGTTTTTACAGTCTCTAAAAGTGCCGAAAATCAATTTTTGAATATTGCGATTTTCGGTGGTTTTTGGGGTATTGCTTGCGTTCTTCGATCCACTAAGGTCTAAACGCTGCTGATTCTGATGCGCCGAGATCCGATTTTTTGTATTCTAAGCTGTTTAGACCTTAATGGATTTTAGAACTGTTTTTATAGTCTCTAAAAGTGCCTTCTCTAAAATGTCCTTCCTGGAGAGTAACGCGTTCACTACCACACCATGCAGGTCATTCGTTTCAATCCCGTTGACGGGTGACTGCTGACGGTACCGATCTATAGAACTAGCTGAGAGACAGGCGAGACGAAAGACCCGCATGGTGTGGTGGTGAACGTGTTACCCGCCGGATAGGATAATAGCGCGTTCGTTCCCCACCGCATACACCTGCGGTCCAGCGTTTTGCAAATATCTCAGCGTTATAAAAAGTAAATTAAAAATAAATAGCAAGTTATGGTAATTTTCTTCACAACGTTTAACCGCCTTTCAGGCATAAAAATTACGGTCACTGGTAGTGGCATTTAAGCCTTCTTTGACTTCTCTACAGTTTCTTGCCACGAAACAATGGCTCAATCATTCATACAAAGAATTTATTAGGAAGAAGAAACTATATCAATGAATTTACCCATACCGCTGTCTAATTACGTTAAAAACTTTTATCACATGTTTTCAGTAACAAAAACAAGAATGCTTCGCCGTGACTTGTAACTTTGGTAATCATAACAAAGCTTAATCAATCTTTTGGTTAAGGTTGAAATTGATGGAGATGAAGCAGAGGCAACAATTTTTCAGCACTGTACTACCTAACTTATATTTGGAGAGAATACTTGATTGACCCATCGTCGGAAATCATAAGCGTTCGCTCCCAAGCTAGATTAGTGGAAAATTCCTTTTACGTGAGCCTTACATGCCGTGCTTGGGCTCACTCATGTCATTACCACAACCCAACTGGTGCCTTTTCTGTTGGAAGATAACACTGATTCCTAGTATTGGTTTAGCATTAAGTACACTCCAGGTAAGGTTGTTGACCTCTTGGTGAGCTTGAAATATCCTCCCGAAAGATGGAAATGGGCACGTGTAGCGCAGTGGTGGGAAGCGCCCGGTAACACATACGTGGAATCCACCCCCGAGCCCATGGCTCACCAAGCCTTCCATCCCTCAGGGGTCGGCAGATTGGTGCCAGACTTGTCTGGGAGGATAGCAGCACTCGCTCAATACATCGGTAGGCCACCGCGAGTCATTGTAAAGCTCAGATATAGATTCAGTCACCTCCAAACGATGCTTAATGAAGTCGAATGCACAGCGCATTCCTCAGGGATTGGTCAACGCAGAGAGTTTTTTTACTTTTTCTTAAAGATGGACCTTGTATATAGCAGCTCGACATCTTTAAACGCCACCCAGCCGCTGAGGCGGAAAACTATAGGGAATTAAGTCAGTAATATATATAAAAGCATAAAAAATGATTTAAAGGTTTGGAATATTCTGTGTGCTTACTCGCCCTCGAAGATCTCATGATAATTCCATGGAATGTAGTACTGAATAGCATTGAGGCCAAGTGCGCGAACTCGCTGAAGCCTGAAATGGAAAGCCCAACACCATTACTTAGTCTTTTCGACTTACTATTGCATCCGAAGAGCAGGTACACCTTCCTGCTCCAAAAATTTTAAAGCTCACTTTAAAAATCTAAGAAATCCAAGCAAACAACTGCAAGAAGGTTGTCAATGCACAAGAAGAACCTTCAGATACTTTTCATTTTAAGTATTCCACAAGCCTTTCCCAAGCATAAAATTTCTTCCACTTCATTTTCTTATCACGAAATTCCAGCTAAAACCCATTTTTCTTGAAAAGGAGGAAATCTTAGAAAACTTCGCATCAAAGTTTAAAAGAACGTTTTCATTAACCACTTCACTTACCTATCCTTCCATTGGCTCCGATGAATTCGAAAGTAGTGAATGGATCCAGAAATATAGCGAAATGGTTGTCCATCGAGAAGGAATTGATTATTTTGATAATCAATAGAAAATGAAGGTAAAACCCTGAAGAACGAATGAAAATGCTTGAACGGATGGAAAAATACAATGGATTAAACTCACTTTGTTCTGTCAACTTTACTGATAGTTTGACCCAATGAGCATAAGTAGAAAACGATCAGAACACCAATGATTATATGGAAATGCGACGACATATCTCAAATGAGAACGACAACTACAGAGATCTTTCCAGGAATCTCAGTTAATTCGCTTTATTTTCTTAATGGCAGATACGATACAAAATAAAAAGTGATAAAATAAATAAAACCATAGCTGAATACGATACCTCTTCAATAGATTCCCTAAAGTAGGGAGTAAACTAGCAGAACTCGTACAAAATATGGAGTTCTAAGATCAAAAACTGCATCAAAAAAGTTCTATGGCAGAGAAACAATGTCGAATAGAAAATACCAGAAACGATTCAAGAAGTTGACCATGACACGGAAAATCCCTTGAGGAGCATTAAACTATATTTTTTAGCGAACTACGCATTGGAAGAAACATTGTTGCAATCACAAAATAATTGCAAAACTATCTGCCATTGTTTTGCGGAAACAATGCATCTCAGGAGGAAGTAGTACCTCAAATAAACCATGAACAAGATTCGATTCGCGTTCCGAGTAGAGGAATCTTTCGCCTGCTAGCCACTCGAAGAACTCATCTATCACCGGCAACGTTCAGACCAGCACGCAGCAGAGGAGGCAGTCGATATCTCTGAAGATGTTCGAGAACGAACACATAAAATGATATATATATATATATAT